GGATGTGCAATCATTGCTAGCACTCGCCAGAGCACACAAAAACCAGTTTGCTAGAAAACAAGGCGCTGTGTTATTTTGCGTCTGTTTATTTATCTATTTTTAAGCAAGAACATGAGTTTGAGTTATTGCCCGGTTCCTCTTGCCTGTTTGCTTACAGCCAGTTTCCCTTTCTTCACACATGAAGGAGCAAACACTGTCCCTGTCAGGCAGTAAATGAGGCAGCATTGGTGACGTGTGTGTTTGTCAACATAAGCAAGATCAAATGATTGCTCAGCCGGAAGAAGCCACGGGAAATCCACTGATTTTTGACTAATTAGCAAAATAATAATAATGTCTCCCTAATGATTACCTTGTCCTGGGCTGTGGCCTTTTACCAGACAGACATTCCACCAGGGCAAACTAGAGTTTTGAAGACAATCTAGTGATTTCACTTGAAATCATGGCTGTGGAGCATTTCTGAGAAACCTTTTGAAGCCTCCTGTTCTTCTCTGATTACTTGAGAAACTGTGAAAACGAAACCATCCCTGCTGTTTCGCAGTGTCCCACAACCCACGTGTGTTTTAAGTAATGCTTGATGAGGAAAAGGCAATGCTTATTTTTCAGGACCATTTAAAGTTCAAGTTCATTCTATCTGGTCAGGGAATTTCACCAGAGGCATTGCAAGGAGTAACTTAACTGAAAATAACAATGTAAACAAGAATTTGTTTGAACATGCTACCCAACGTTGCTGTGTTCATTGCCATACAGAGTCATATTTTTATTAAGCTTTTAGGAAACTTCCAGAAGATGTTAAAGTAGACCTAAATTCTTAGCCCTGGCAAATGTCCAGAGATGAGCTGACATTTTCTGTGCGGTCCAGTAGTCAACCACTATTTATGGGAAATTCAGCGAAGAAAGGAGCATCTATCGAGTTGCAGAGCGTTGGTGAGCTCTGTGGGTTATATTGCCTGAGATACATTCACAGGGTTCTGACTTAGGACAGAGCTACAGGTTTCTCACATTCCTGGGGGCCAGATTAACACCTTACAAATAGAGATCAAGGATGAGTGAGCTTGGAACCGAGGGAACACTGACTAGGGGAACTTAGCTTGCCACTTGGTGTTAGGTTGGGAAGAGCTACATGGACCTTGCTGATTTTGTCATTCAGGTGCTGGAATGGTATTAAATGTCATTGAGAGAGCTGGTAACACTTCTAAATAATCAGACGCAAAAGTACCTCACCAAAATAAAAAAGCAGACATGCGCTGAAGTTATTTTTAAGACTAGAAAGCTACTTGTTTGCTTGCTATTTAAAATGTTTGCCCTTTAATAGAATATCAAGTGTTATTTTTAGTTTTTCTATTGTGATCTTTAGCTGACATACTGATTGCAATAACAAGAGAAACACAAAATACATTTTATATCTTTATATCCAAACCACCGAGAAGTTTTATTGTTGGGTAACTATTGTTTGTGCTTATCGCAGTTAGTATAGAACCCATGATTATCTTTATTTTTGGTGGTGGTGGGGGGGACCCTAAGCCTGTTCAGGAAGTTCTTCTGCCACCCCTCTCTGCATCAAGGTCACTCTTAGTTTCTTCCCCAGGAGCAGCGATCTCTATGTTAGTAACCTGTGCAAAGCCATAGTAGCATCTTTCCTTTGTCTAACCCAGGAGTGACCACTAACAGAGAGAGACAGAGAATGAGGAGAGGACAGCAGTGATGGGGACATGGTAATGAGGGGGAGCACAGGAGGGTGGGCAAGCAAAAGACAAGAGCAGTGTTGATAATATGCTGAGGCGGGGTCGGGGGTGAGAGGACAGAGCTTACTTTAATGAGCCACATGGCTGCCACCACCAAACAGATGCTCAGAGGTTTCCCTTAGTAAGTCTTCATCAGCCTCAGTGAATTTCTCGATGGCTGTCTAGTTTTGCAGGTCCAACAGAGCAGCCACTAGCCACATATGGCTATTGAGCACTTGAAATGTGCTAGTTAAAACTGATACACACTAAAAGTGTGAAATCCATGCTGGTTTTAAAGATTTAGTATTAAAAGGTATTAAAAACATTATACTTCTCAATAATGTTATATCAATTACATGCTGAAATTGTTATATTTAAGATTTTCACTAGAATTCATTTATAAATATATTTTTATACATTTCTTACTCTTTAAAAAATGTCTACTAGCAAATGAAAAATTACATCTGCGGCTTGCTTTAATAACCACCTTTTCTAGTTTCTGTATTTGATGCTTTAACATTTGGAGCCTTGCCGGCTCTGAAGGGACTGCCTCTTCCAGGACTAGCCAATTTCTAGAGATAGTGAAGGACTTGCCTATGAACACCTTCCATATGCAAAGCAACCAATGTAGAGCTCATAGCCCCAGCTCCCCCCTTTAGTGGGTTCCTACAATCCAGGTCACTATCCACCTGCTCTAACCATCCCAGGGCCAGGTGTCAGCCCACTAGGGACAGATCCGATGCCCCAGAGCCTGCTGACATTATTTATCCCAGCCAATTTTTACCTCACTCATTCCTTCCTGTGGAAAACACAATGAAAGCTCTTGGCCACTTGTCCCCACCCTCGTACCTGCCTCCTCCTGACTGACCGACCTTGGTACTTTCTCCTTTGCCCACCCCACTCCATGGAATGGTGTGCCCCTCCTCTTGGGATCCATGAATATAACAAACTATATGCTCAATGGCAATTACTTCCTGATTTTTGGCTTTGCCATACTTGAATAATAATATAAATGACATTTTAAACACTTGTATCGTATGGGACAGTGCTGCTAGAATTCTGTTTCTCCAAATGCAATCCAGTATCTACCTGTGGTAGAGTCATCTAAAAAATTAAACATCCAGATTTCTGGATCCCCTTAAAATTAGCATGGGGATCCCCTTAGAATTAGAATCCCCTTAGAATTATCCTGAAACATGGTATAAGCTCAATAAATGTTAGCTATTGTTACTGTAACACCGTACTAACAATAATCTATATATATAAAAGCCTCAGCAACCATTATGACTGAACGCCCAGAATGACTGGTCAACGGTCACTATGATGCTCACTGACCACCTGGAGGCAGAAGCTCAATGCAGGAGCTGCCCCTGGTGGTCAGTGTGATTCCACAGCCAACCTCCTGTGGCTGGCCAACCTCCCACAATCCCTCTCCCTGGCTGGCTAGCCCCCTTGATCTGCCCCGATTAGGGGGACTGGCCAGCCAATTTCCCGTGGTCCCTCCCCCCAGCCCACCTGGCTCCAATTAGCCCTGACTGGGGGCGGGGCCAACTGGGCAGGCCAGACCAAGGCACCCCACCCATGCACAAATTCGTGCACCGGGCCTCTAGTATATTAGTAGTAGTATTAGTAGTATTAGTAGTAGTAGTAGTAGTAGTAGTAATAATAATGATGATGATACATGATTTACTTCTGGCTTGAGAAGACCACTCTTCCTTTTTTTAATTATTTTTTTGTTGCTATTTTGTTATATACTAAAAATACATATTTATGTATATTTTTATTTGTAAAAGCATTTACTGGGTGTTTGCTATTGGCCAAGCTCATGTTAAGTGGTTTACACATCATTTCATTTAATCCTCATGACCACCAATGGTTTTACCAATAAGTAAGAAAAGTAACTGCCCAGAGTCACACAACTTTCTAGTGTTGGAGCATACATTATTTTATTTATTTAAAATGTTTTTATTGATTTTGAGAAGGAGAAAAAGTGAGAAGGAGAGAGAGAGAGAGAGACATTGATGAGAGAGAATCATTGATGGACTGCCTCCTATACATCCCCTACTGGGGATCACACTAGTAGGCATATGCCTTGACCAGCAATGGAATCCATGACCTCTCAGTGTATGGGCCACACTAGCCAGGGCCATACTTTATTTTTGAATGATATATAACTTATGTATTTACTTAACATTGTTAGGCACAAAGGCCATTCAGAAGGATAATAAAATATATATCTACAATTTAAGAATTACAGTGAGACAAATACATGTGTGCACCCACCCATGCATGTGTCTGTAAAAGCAGTATTTTACTTAATTTTGTGGGCTCTCAGATTTTTGACAAATGGTCTCAAGCTACTTACATTCTGTGATGGTTTGCTTCTCTTGTTCTATATATGTCTACGAGATCCATCTATGCTGATGGGTGTAGGTGCAGTTCACTCGTTTTCACTACCATACTGAATTCAGGTGTAAACATATATTTTTGGTTGACATTTTTCTGTTTGACATTTAGGTTGTTTTGTGGGTTTTTGTTTTTGTCTTGCTATTAAGAACAATGCTGCTAGAAAGACTCTATTTCTTTTCTGTCCCCGAACATTTTCAATGATGTGTATTCTTTCTTTTAAACCGAACAAACAAACAAATGTTCACTACTGTTAGTTAACTGATATTAACTAATATTTTAAATAAATATTGGGCTTACAGGAAAGTTGCAAACATCATACAGAGAGTTCCAACAGACCGCTCATCTTGCTTCTTCTAATGTTAACGTCTTACATTACCATAGTACAGTGATCAACTAGGAAATTAACATTGATATAGTATTAGTAACTAACTTGTGGACCTCTTTGACTTTCATCAGTTTCTAAGCTGGTGTTCTTTTTATGTTCCAGGATCTTATTCAGGATTCCACACTGCATTTAGTTTTTATTTGGGGAGGTCTACTTTGAACCTATTTCTTACTCCAAAATTCAGAAGAACAGTGTTTCAGGGAGATTAATTTTAAGGCAGCGTGTGAAATAGATTTTAGGGCAGAGAGCTAAAAGCGAGAATGTCATGAGACTTTTGCTATATTGTAATTGCTTAAGGCAGAGAGAGGAAGGGGTATGGCAGTGAAGGGCCATCTAGGGATATATATATATATGCCTTTCTATAGCGCAGGTGGCATTGTAATAATGTGCTCATCAGTCTCCCCTAGAAGCCCCAAAAGTTCCTTGAGGGCAGGGAGCACTAAAGCTAATTCATCTTTGTATCTTCTTCGGGAACTAAGAGGAGTGCTGGGCTACAGCAGTGATTTGGTGAAGTTTTGTCAAATAAATGAATATACATGAGAAGGGCAAGCTGAAGGGCAAGCAATGACACACAGGAAGAGTGAACAAAGGCAAAAGGAGAGGAGGGAGAGCAAAAATAGAAAAGGAGAGAGAGATCAGCTGACGGGCTGGGGAGACAAGCACAGAAGGCAAGACAATGATGGCAGAGGACGAAGAAACACAGCCAGAGGAAGCAAGGAGACGGAAGGTACGAGAGCCTCATGATTCTCCCCACTGTGCTGCTCACTTAGGTTCGGTATATTATCATCCATCTCTCAACTTTAAAACCTTCCTCCTTTACTTATTGTTGTTCACAGCTCTCAGAACTGTGTTATTTACTCCCTCTTCCCATCCCTCCCTCACAAGATGCTGCTAAGAACAGTCTCCTGTTGCAGCAACCAAAGGTCATATGATGCCTATGGCGGTTTCACGGGGCCATTTCCCCCTATCTGCTTTCTGCCTCAAGGCCTTTGCACTCGCTGGTCCCTTATTCTAAGATTCTCAATTCCAAATTGTTGTAAGGTTGGATGCGTCTCCTCCTTGAACGTTTAGCCTCACTTGCTTTGCCCTCTATCATATTCTGTTGTTTTATTGTCCTCGAATGCTTATGGTTCTGGGGAAGTTTTTTGTTTATCTGCTCACTTCTTTTTTCATTCGTTTTCATCCACTAGAATATTAGCTTCACGACAGAAGGGATTTTGTTTGTCGTATTCCCCACTGAAACGTTAGCATCCCGAAGAGTGTGCAAGGACTGTGAGATGATGAACCGATTGCTCTGCATACTGGGTTTGATTTATTCATGGGCTACATGGAGGAGGAGGCCACTCGTCACTTAAAACTCCTTTGTGCCATTGTTAAATGAACGATTAACACTCACTGGTTGTTTTGCTTCCTTTTTCAATTGGGCAACTATTTTTGAAGGATGAAGGAGAGGATTGTTACAGTTCCAGGATAAAATTAATTTAAAACAATTTATTGGATGGGCATAGAAGCGAGCGAAGAACAATTTCCGAGCTAAGATAAAATTTCAAGTGAACCTGATAATCAGGCAATTCATGCTTCAATTAAGCATCTTTTTGGAAAGCCTGTTAAGTACTAGATACTGTAGCAGAAACACGAATTTTGAGAACAACACATTTCTGTCCTTTAGGACCTTTCTTTCAAATGGAACTGTTTGATAAGCAAATAACTGGTTGAAAAATAATTTCGTTAAGAGCTACAATAAAAAGATGCTCAGAGGGCCTTGGAGGCAAAAGGGACAGAAGAGGACAGCCTTAAATATCCTCTTCAAATATACATATTTGCATTTCAAATAATGCTCTGAGTCATGGTCACAGGTGTTACTGAGGGGATTCTAGTAAATGTGGCAATACGGGGTTAAAAGTAACCACTTGGCTTCTATGCAGGACTGAACCGAGCTTTTAACTTGCTAATGTGGGCCATTCATTTATGTAGGGAGCTTGTTAAGAATCATTAACTAAACTTATGTGACCACAGTGCCTTTTAAAAAAGAAGATCTTATGGAACTAGTTTCTGCTAATCAAACTTTGGGGAATGATAATACAAATTACAGAACAAAAGCAGATGAAATTTATTGATAATTCATTTAGCCAAAGAGTTCTAAAAAAACAATTTCTTGATGTTCTGGGTTGAGGATTTCCCACTTGAAAATTTATGAATGGGACTCAGAAAACTCTTCATTACTTTCCCATCTCCATCCTTCCTCTTCCCTATCCTTCTATGACTCCTTCAAGACCCCACTAATATTCCCCCCACACACAAGAAAGAGTTCATAGTCTAATTAAAACTTCTGATAGCTCTAACATTTTTTAGAAATTGTACCTTAAGGAATGATAAAATAGTAAAAATAAAGCATCTTGGTCTCTAATATCATTTCCTATAAAAAGGAATTAAGATTCCTTGAAGAAATGGCTGATTCCATGGCTGGGGCAAAGTAAATACAAGATGAATTGAGGACATCTGATTATGCCAAGGTAAGAAAGTGCTAACAAAGGGGGTCATAATATAAGGATGGACATTATTCTTTTAACTTTTCTGTAAATTTAATATTATTTCCAAATAACAGAATTTTATAAATTAAAGTAGCACCGGGTGCAGTAGTTTCTCTGTGGCTCGGGGATTAGCTTTGTGGACTCCGGGTTTATAGATACCCATTTGAAATCTTGGCCTGACCACCTATGACCTCTGTGCTTTTGGATAGTCTCTTAACCTCTTTAAATCTCTTTATCTGTGAAATGGTAATAATAAGAGCACCCTTTCTAAGGGTAATTGTGTGGAATAAATGAGATGATCCAAGTTAAATTTAGCACTGTACATGACACAGAGCACTGCTCAATACATGTTATTGTCATACAACATGTACTCAGTTGATTCTAGTTGATTGAAGGGGTTCATGGTTAAGCCAGTTCAAAAACATTAACAGGAAACAGGGTTTAAAGACATAGGTTTAGATTAAATGTGTTTCTGAAATCTTTTTCATTGTTATGATTCCTTGGCTCTTTAAAAGGGGCCTTGTATCGGATTCAAAAACAAAGTGATTGAATTTTTAATGAACTTCTCTAAAGCAGTCTGTATTGATTTAAAAAATATTAGAAGCTGATGGTACGGTCCAATGGAAGATTACAGTTGATATTCTGAAGAGCCTTCAAATGAAACAGGATTGAACATCACATGTTCCTTCCCACCAGACCAGACTTGGCATATGTACTTTCCTACTACCGCCACTCTCTCTAACACAGGTGTTTTCTAACTTCGTACATCTAGCTTACATTGACATAAAACCTTGAGTTGAATAGCGTTTTTTTCTCTCTTTTACTTGCGTCTCTCATTCAAGGAGCTGAATCCTGGTTCAACTGCATTGGGGAGTTCAATGTGATGAAATTCAGACTGCCTCCCGGGTCTGCTAAGCTTCCTTCCGGTGAGCGAAGTCTTCTGCTTTGGTTCCTTACACCTTTGGCAGAACTGACCCCCAAACAGAGTTTATCAGCTTCATTTTTTTCTTACCAAGACTTCCCAATTCTTTTATGCTTCAACCTCTGTTTTGGCAACTTTTTGAAAGAAGGATTGGAAAGAGGTGAGGCTTTGGCCTCAAACAGAGTTGGATACAAAATCTTGTCTTTATCACATTCTTACTGTGTTTTCTCAGTGGGGAAGGCAAGATAATCTTAACAGTAGGAGCAAGGTCTCTGGGGTCAGACCGCCAGGATTAGAATCCTGCTGAGTAGGACCCCTTAGTTGAGCAAGTACTTTTACTTCTTCCTGTGTCAGTTTTCTTATCTTTAAATGGAGACAATGGAGCTCACCCAACAGGATTTCAGTGAAGATCAAATAATAGAATTAGGTGAAATACTTATAATAGTACCTGCCCCATAGCAAGTACCTTTCTAAGTTTCAGTTTCCTTATCAAAAATTGAAGATGAAGCCTATTTCATATGCTTAGTACATGGATTAAATAATCTATTGCAAGTGAAAAAATAAAACAAAACCCTGAGCCCTTTGCAGATCTGGTTTATTAGTGAACATCCATTCATTCAATAGATAGGTGCATATTTCTCGTACTGTACATGTTTTAAGGGCTGGGCATTCAGAGAAGAGTCACACAAACAAGAGTCTTTGCTCTTCTGATCTGTGAAAAAAATGCTACTTGTTATTGTTATAAAAGATAAGGACTAAGTGTAGGCCTGATCTATAAACCTTAGTAATATCACATCCTGTTTTTTCTTATCTTCTATCCCCATTCTTTAACTATTTTATTGATTTCTTTTTTTTAGAAAGAAAGGGGAAGAGAGAGAAACCTGGATGTGAGAGAGAAACAGACCAGCTGACTCCCACACCTGTCTCAACGGGAAATTGAACCCACAACCTGGGTATGTACCCTAAACGGAAATCCAACCTGCCACCTTTTGTTTTATGGGATGATGCTCCAACCAACTGATCCACACTGGCCAGGGTCTCTTCCATCCCCACCCTTAAGGATATCTAATTTCTCTTTGAGTCAAATTTTAGAATCCCACTTTCTTTCCCACAAACAGTATTTAAATGTATCTAACTTAGCATTTAGCTAATAAGGAAAATAAACATTTTGGGGACATTTTGAAGTTTACAAAGGACTTTCGTCTATGTTTCCTCCTTTGGTCCTCCTCTGAGGCTGGGAGGAGCAGATGTAGCCCATTATCTTCATGAAAGCTCCCACCCGAAACACGTCTGCCACACATTCCTGTGATTAGCAAAATAAAAGATTTAGAAGCAAAAATATTCCTCTCTCTTTTTTTTTCTCCAAAAAGCAAACAATTTCTAGAACAGGCAAGGACAAGAGCTGGAGGAGAAAAATTGGTATTTTTTTCTGTGCATAATTTTTCTGACAAAACAGAGATTTCAACGTCATTTTCATGACAAACTGTACCCATATCTTTGAAATTTTTGTAAATGTGGCATCAATCATGTACATCTTGCAGTTATTTGCCTTGAAATTTCATTCTATTTATCTTGTTGGCAAAGTGAAAAGCAATTTTTGTTTGCTAACGCTGCCTTTTCCCTTGTTGCAGAAAAAATGGCAATGCTAGGAGGACTAGTTTTTTTTTCTTCCTTTCTTCTGCGGGAAAGCTCCAGTGTGCTTATCTTTATGCAGCATCTATCATACTATTTTAGCATGTGTTCATTTTATATACAGGTTTGAGTCATTTAGTATTTGCTTGCCAACATTTTCCTAAGAACTCTTTAATTGGCACAGATAGCAATTAAAACTTTATTACTTAAATAGTTTTTGGGACAGGAAAGAAAAGGTATCCAAATCAGCATAATCAATTTAGCTCTAAAACACTATGTCTGACTTTTTATTTTATTTATAATAAGGATTTTGTTCTAATGCTGTGTAAGTAGTCTATAGCTGCTCTTTCTAGTTCTACATAAATGAGATTCATACCTAATGTGTCTCCAATTTTCAAAAACAATCTCTCAAATACAGTTTTAACTTGCCATTAAGGCTGTGTCTACTCATCAGAAAATGAATGTTTGGGAAGGGATTACTGGTGCATGCAGGGTATTAGTTTTTAAATATGAGAATCAGTTCTGCCCTGCAATTTGCTTCACCAAAACTTTCTTTTAGAGAAATGGCTTTTGCTGTTCTTAGGGGATATTTCTAGACAAAAGTCACATCAAGTCTATTCCCCATTGATTGAACTGTAGCAGTCTTTATTGTAGACACACCTTACAGATAAATGAAAAAAGATTTTTAATATACGTGTAATGGTTTGGAGATGTTTATTCAGTGTAGGCAGAGCATCTGTTAGTACCTTATATACCTTGGGAAGATTTCCAAAAGACTGTAATGAATAAAATGGAGACACTTAGAAATTTATATAAATCACCAAATTATTCAAACAATGATGAAAATTACCTTGTAAAGTTCTGATGAGTAGGTGGTCAGAAAATACACACACACACACACACACATGCACACACACACACTGCATATATAGCTGAAGGACCAAAAATGAGTCAAATATTGTGTGAGGCACTTTCATCTACATTATCTCATTTCATCCCCACATAATTTTACTGAAAAAAAATGTTATTATTCTATGTTTATAGTTGAGAAAGCAGAAAATATCCATGAAATAATGGTAAAACTGATAAGTTAGGTTAAATATACAATAAGCTCAGAAAGAAGGAGGTTATAAAAGGAGTAGACCAACTACTTTAATGAGACTTGAAGATATCTGCAAAGAAATCTTAAGCATGAATTGAAGGACACTGCAACCTCAGAACCTGCCCACCTTCTCCCTCACAGTAATGCAGTTCCCTCCCTCATCCCCAGCAACTCGGATATCTGTTGTCATAGGCCTCCAAACTCCACAAACTGTCAAGTCTGTTTTCTCCTTTCTAGGACTGTAAATTAAAACTTGGAAGGTTTTGAATCAATTCTTTATCTCAGTAAAAAAGAAGAGCTTTTGTAATGTAGGCAATAAACTATTTTCTTCACATAGTCAAGGACAAGATTGAAGACCAACAATGAGATCCTAAGTGGGACTGCTTCTTCTTAGCACTGGGTTGGATGCCGTGATAGGCTACACTTTTAAGAGCGAACAATAGAGCCACACCAGGTTGTGTCCAGCATTCGTCTGCATAACTAATTCCATCCTACTGGGTGCTCGTGAGTTAGGGATGGTTGTGCTTATGTGCAGGTGACAAAAATGAGGCAGAAGGAGAGTAAGAAACCTACCAACAATCAGGCAGCAAGTAAGAGAAGAACCTTGGATACAAGCCCAGGTCTGTCTTATGCAAGGGTCTGTGGACTTTCCATTAAGCTCTGTCAACTCGATTAATAACCATGGAGGCCCTAACTGGTTTGGCTCAGTGGATAGAGCCTCGGCCGGCAGACTGAAGGGTCCCAGGTTCGATTCTGGTCACGGGCATGTACCTTGGTTGATTGCGGACACATCCCCAGTAGGTGGTATACAGGAGGCAGCTGATCGATGCTTCTCTCTCATCGATGTTTCTAACTCTCTATCCTTCTCCCTTCCTCTCTGTAAAAAATCAATAAAATATATTTAAAAAAAAAACCATGGGGAACCTTACATCACCCCAAACAACCTGCTCCTCTTTATGGAGAAGATGGAGCCTGAAGACCTAGAGAGGCCCACAAGAGGCCCCTTTCAAATGATGGTAGCAAAACAAAAATATTTTATTTGTACTTCAGGTAAGCACTACTGTCCTGTGACATCAGTTCTGATGATAGATTTAGGAATTCTGTGGAAATCAGTAGGAAGTGTGCTTCTCTCAAGATGACATACTTGACTACGGTCAGTGCGACAAGCACTTTGGGTCTGAAGATGGAAGCCCATGTACCAGGTTGAGTATGTTGGCAACAAGCAAGAGCCATGGATTTATATTTATGGAAGTAGGACAGACAGTGTTAATTCCCATGCAACGTCCATTCTCCTTCCTTCCTAACAGAACAGCAATCTATTTGTTC